TTTTTTGTGAAATTTGAGATTATCTCTGTTTTTTTCGTTGCTGTTTATGGAAGAAACTAAGTTGTATACTCTTTCATATAAAATAAAAGCTTGAAAATCGTACTGTGAATGTAAACGATTGTGATTTTGACGGGATGATAACAGTAAATCACTCGATTCATAGAAAATATGTTTTATATTAATTATAGATCAGAACAGAGATACATTTTTATCATCGTAGATCTTCACAGTTAAAATATCAAAGAAAAAAAAGGTGAAATTCCATAATCGATAGTATTTTTTATTCGATGTAGGCATGTTTATTAAGAAATGATCTAGTATTACGAAAACTCATTGAAGATTGAGTAACTTTTATATAGAACATTTTTTTATATATCGTTTCTTTTTGTAGTAAAATGTTGAACTCTAAACTTCTGACAAAGAACTCCATTTTTTTAAATTTCCTAACGGGCAAGATGTTTTGAATAACTCATCTTTGATTAAAGAAAAATCAATGAAGTTTTTGCTATTAATAGATCTAAATGGTATCTATTCGATATTTTTCTTTTATCATTACGAGAATACAGGTATTACAATGTAAAAAAATAAAAATTCATAACGTTTGCTCATGTTGTTCAACATCACTTCGGTACTTATTTTTATTAGAATTTATTTCTCGATGACGGCTTTCCTCTTAAACAACACTGATTGTGTCCGGTACTCTTACAATATCGAAATATGCATAGGAAGCGATACGTCATCTATAATAATTAGACGTTTTACACATAACGATAGTTTCTGTATATTGAAATCGTTCGATTTAAACGTACTTCATGAATTAATCATCGAAATGTTAAACTAGAACACGACAATTTCCAGCACTTTTTTTTTTACAAATGTTTTCTTTCAATTATACACTGATTCTCATTCAAATATATTACGACAAGTTCTTGTATTGATGACAGAAGATAGATAATTTCATAATACATAACAAATTCTATTTAGTCTATTAACATATATCTTTTTTCTTCTTCTAACCGAAGGAATCTCTTCAGATGTCTCCTTCCGATTTCAATTATTTATTGCTGATATAATATTCTAGAGACCTCTCTGTACGACCTAAGATTATCGAAAAAATTACGTTGTTGAATATTATCTTGAAACATTATCTTGATTTCAAGATCATGTATAAAGTAGCTCATAGATCAGACATACGAACTCTTCAAGCTCTAAAAATTTGTCCTATAAATTACTGTATATGAGACCTTCAAATAGAGATAGTTTCAAGATGAAATTCAAAAACACGATTTTTCCAATAACTTGAAGTCTTAGAGAGATCTCTGATAAATACACACACTAGAAATTCAATAGCTCTGTTAAGTTTCAATATAACTTCAAATTCTATTAAGGTTTTCACTAGAATACTATAAGCAAAAAACATGATCATTGAAATCAGAAGACAACACATAGGGAAGCTTTCTCGTAAATTACTCTGCCGAAGTAGTTTGTAATATTCAAGTTTTTTTCTTATCCTATTATAACGTTATTAACGATTTCAAAATTAGTTCCTTCAAATTTAACTTTATTTCATTGTAGCAAAAAGAAAATTAATTCTTTCGTTTTTGACAATGTGATCTAAAATTCCTAGAATCATTCTATTAAAAATCTTCACAGAGAAAATATTTCACAGAAATACTAATGAAACCTTATATTAACATGTATTGCTTTTTGTACATCATATAAACGAAAATATTCGACTTTTTATATCGTCTACGTAAAAGCAATGATATGCAATTGACAAAAAAAGATTCAAATTCTTATGTTTTTTGTTTTTACCTGAGAATTAACTTGACATGCCAGTAGAATATAAGCTGGTTTAGCAAGTAAATGCAAACATGTATTTCGATACATAATCATTTTCATAATAAGAGCAGCATCGACTAGACGATCACCAGTCATTTTCAATTTTAAATGATTATTTCCAGTAAGTTCAAATACATCTGAATAAATTGATAAAAGACGTTGTTTTAAATTATTTTTATCATTATTTGATGGCCAGAATATTTGATAATGAGTAGAAAAATCTTCAATCACACTTGTATTCTCAATAAACAATGTATTTTTATCAATAAATAATTGTTCCATTGATATTGATCGATTTTTAGGCATCACTACTGACGAATTAAGAAAAGAAAATGCAGTAACAGTTATTGGATAGATTATTGTTAAACATTGTTGTTCATTTACAATTCGATAAGAAAGTTCATTAAGAAAGTTTTGTTCGAATTCATTAAATCCATCTTGTTGACAAATAGAACGTGGTTGAATACCACGTGGAATACAACGGTCAAAAGTATCACAACGACCTGAAATAATTAAAAAGAATTTATAAATTTTTCAAAAAAAATAGATCAAACAAAATTGCATTTTTTCTGACTAATTTTCTTCTATACAATATTCAAGATTTATCTACTAGAGGGAAATGCCTAAAAAAAGATATATTTGATAACTAGATGCATTAGTGTGAAAAGGGTAATAGAAAGTTAGTGTTTATGAGAAATAGTTGGTGCATTTACGGCAAATAATGCATTTATCTTAAAAGCTAATTGATTGATACGACAAAGTTAAATAATAATAATAATAATAATCTAATCTAATCAACATGAACTCATTAAGTCAAAACATTAAAAAAGAATATTTTGAGCATGAGTACGGATTCTTTTACTATCTGTTATTATATTAATAATATATTTCGATGACGTATAGAGGTGTGAGAGACTATAATTCAGCAGACAGTGAAACATGGATTGTCTAGTAAGGAAAGAACTATCTGTCAGAATTTGACAGACAGTTTTCAGGCAAGTAGTCAAAATTTTAGTAAATACAATGCAAAAAAGTGGAAGGGAGTGCATCCACCGCTAGTCTCTTGTTTATCAAGATTCATGAATATATCTTTTTTTTTGGTGATTAAAAACATTCATACCGATAACTTTAGTACTTTCATTGCAATGGACGAAAGCTTTTTGCAATTCGAAAGTTTTTCTCATGTTCAATAAGTATCTTTTGAAATTCAGTCAGTACTATCTGTAATACTCAACAAATAATGAAAATGATATTAATGAAGAGTATGCTTTATGCATAGTAATAGGACGAATGTCCTAAAGCCGCCAGGATTGAAAGAGGAGTCGGTGACTCAGGAAACCGATCAGAAGATTTTTGCTAACATTGATTGGATCTGGAAGGGAGGGTTATACGATGCTTTAGGAATTGCTGAGCGAAAAAACAATAAAACTCTAGAACTATACTGGAGAAAAACGAAAACTTTTTTAAGATTTGGGATCATTCCCACGACTTACTTCCTGCTCTGGACTAGAGTGCATCGGGACCAACATTTTCGCACTCGGACCCAACTCGACGGCTCTACTCCAAACACCCCTGAGCTCTAATAATTTTTCTTGTGTTTACTTCCCAATAAAAATCACAAAAACTTGATAAAATAATTTATTCAATAGAATGTTTCTTTCTTTTTTTAACCTCATTAATCTTTTATATCTTTCAATTCATTGTGAATGATAATTTTTTTTTTGTCTCTAATATTCTAAATAACATACTATTTGATTTATTTTCTTGTCGTTTTTTAAATAATTCATAAGCATCATGTATATGAATTGGTTGACTAAATTTGACAATCATTGTTCCAAATGATTTTTTTAATATTTGTATTGATTTAAATAAACCACTTTTTGATTCTTTTGGTTTTGGTATACCTAATAATTCATTTGCATGTAAATTATCTTCTAAAACTTTTTCATAATTAATTGAAATAGGTATTAATATTAAATTATCAATTTGTCGATGAAAATAACATTCTAAACATGATTTTAACATACCTTGTCGAACAGGTAATAAAGTTTTTAATGTTCTTGAACGTGCACCTTCAATAAAAAATTCTAATGGATAATCTCCATGTATCACATGTGTTTTAACATATTCATCAAATATAGTCCAATAAAGTAAATCTGTACGAAATGAACGACGTATAAAAAATGCACCACAATGACGAAGTAAATTTGATAATAAACCTAGACCAAGAAAATCTTGTGCAGCTGCGATACATGGTAATGGAATATTATATTCAAAACATAAATATGTTAATATAATAAAATCCATATAACTTCGATGTGTTGGTAAATAAATAATTCTTGGTGATGTTATATAATGTTTTGTTATTAATGGTGATGGTAATAAATTTCTATCGGAATTTATTGATGATGATGATGATGAACGTGAAAATGTATTTAATATAGCAAATAATGTTGATGATATTGTTATTGGTGATGATGGTATAGTTGTTGATGAATTTATTGGTTTTAAACAATATAAATGATATATATAATCAATACTATTTCGTTCAATATAAATATTTTCATAAACTTGATTAAATATTTTAGCAAATATAAATGCAAGAAAACGTGCTGATCGAAGATTTAAACGATGAGACATTTCTTGAATAATAGTTTTAGCTTGTTCATATGTATTTGTTTCATTATTTAATGTTTCAATTGTATATTTTAATGCTAAACTATTTAAAACATCAGATTTAATTTGTTCAGAATTTCTTGGTAATATTTTATAATGTACAGGTGTTATTATTGATAATATTTGTGTATTTTTATTAATTAATTGTTTTGATTTAATTGATTGTTCTTTATTATCAAATAATGGATGATGCCAAGTTTTTAATGACCATAATAAATCACTTGATTGTCGATGACGATATATAATATCATCATATTCAATAGAATTAAATATTGACATATCTAGAATATAAAACAAAAATATATATTTTTTTTTGTCTAATTATCTTTCCATAATTCATCAATATGATTGTTTTTAATTCCATTAATACAATCTTTTACATATAAACGTATTTCATTTTGTATGGATTCTTTATCACGCATATTTTTATTATCGTTATCTAATACATTAATATCTTGCCATTGTTCTGATGATGATAAACGTAATTGTTCAAAATAAAATTCAACTTTATCTTGAAAAGATTTTGTTTCATAACGTTCATCACCTGTATAAGATAAACTATTTGTTTGTTTATTACGATGAAAATAAAGAACAAGATCAGGTTTAAGTAAACCAATATCACATGATTGACACCAATTTTTATCAAGACCTTTAGCTTGTGTAAATGCAATACCAGAATAAGCATAACGATCAACAATTAATGTATAACCTTGAAGAAGTTTTGTACGCATTGTATCAATACATTCCCAACGATTAGCAGAAAATAAAAGATGAATTGTATGATCATTAAATTCAATTTTACGTTGTAAATAACTATCGATTAATGAACCTATTTCTGTTGAACGATTAGGAAATGCTAAACGTTCACAAAGAAGGTCACATTCATGAGAAAGATAGTCATATAAAAGTTTGCTTTGTGTAGTTTTACCAATTCGATCAAGACCTTCAAAAATAATTAAAGCTCCTCGTTTCGTAGCCATAAATTATCTGACCATAGGATTATTATCACAGAATAAAATCTGAAACAAAAGAACAAAAAAAACCTATTTATTTTTATTCTCATTAATTATACTGTTTAGAAAATTGAATTAGACAAAAACAAAGTAAAACTACATTTCTACGAATTCCTACACAAACAAATATTAAACTTTGGTCGTTATTCGAGCTTGAGTTAAATTTTCTTTTAAACGTTCTAAATCTAATTGACGATAATGTATATAATCATCATTTTGACTTAATTGATCTTGTAATTGTTTTATATCTGATTCAAGTTGTTTACGTAATTGTACACGTTGTTTATTTAATTCTAATTTATCTTCACGATCATTTGTACGTTGTATAACTGATTCCTTTTGTTCAAGTTCTTTAAACATATTAAGACGTTGTTGATAATAATTTTCAAGAGATTCTAATTGATTACGATAACGTGCAAGAAATAAACCATTATATTCTTGTTTATATTTTTTCATTTCATGTAAACGTTCACGTTGAATACGTATCGAATCTTTATAAGCTTGTTTTAATATTAATTCTTCATTAGTACGTTTTTTTAATAAACGTTTTCGTTGATCAAGACAATATTGTTGAAAATAACGACGTACACGTGCTTGTTGAATACGTTGATCACGAACTTTTGATTTAAGAATACGTTCAGCTGATTGTTTTAATTGAATATCTTGCTAGAAAAAAAAAGAACAGAATTTTATTTATTTTATTAAATGAAACAATAATGTTTGATTATATTACCTGACGTTGTAAACTACCTAATTCTTTACGTAGAATTTCAGTCATTTGATCGTGTTTTTCCTTGACTTTTTCAACCTAAAAGATATGATCATATACAGTACTGATCAAAAAATATAAGGTTAATAGATTTTTGATTTTTTTTTTATGATACCAGTCATTCAGTTTATGTTCAAATAGTGATTTGAATAGCCAATGAAATTCTCTATCAAAGGCATTCCATACAGAAATTTTATATGTAGACTATGACAAAGCGAAATTTACTATAGTATTGCTAAAAAAAAAGTTAAAAACGGCAGTTTTTTTGTGATGCTTATAACTTCTTAAGGGCAGGTCGTACGAGATGCAGTGAATCCTAATTTTATTCAGGTTTCTATGCTCTTTACTATGATTCTTTTATAAACTAATTTTCACGCAGCCTTCTAGGACCTAAAAACATTCGTGTTTGGTTGTTCGGAAATCTTCCTCGTATGATCCATATATGAAATTTCTATATAGAAGTCATTTAATAGAGAACTTTATTGGCTATCAAACTACTAGTTGAATTTAAGTTGAATGCCTACGATCGTAGCAAAAAAAATCAATAATACATTGGTCTTATATTTTTCACCGAAACTATAAATTTCTATGAAATTAGAGATTCATTTAATAAGTTTAAAACATATAGAAAGAAAGGATTGATGATGATTATAACTTTATGCATTAATCATTTCAATAAGAAGAAAACATTCACTTAAAATATTCATACACATGGTGTGTTCTATTGATTTTATTCTCACAAGTTTTGTATGTTTTCTATTCTTACATCATTCATATTTCCTTGTTTAGTATTGAGAAGTTCAATTCTTGATTTAAATACATTATCAATGTGTTTACTAAATTGTTCATTAAGTTTGGCTTGCATTTCAGTTGAGACATAAATTCCAGGAAATTGTTCATTTAATACTTGAATTATATCATGTTCATTACCAAGTAATAAACGATGTTTATTTGTTGTTTTTATATTTGTTGGGGTATCATTATCAGTTATTGTTGTTGAATCATTAAATTCATCTTTATGTACAATTGGTCGTACGTTTAATGTATTTGTTGATGCACGAAGAAAACCTTTTTGTAATGAATTTTGTCTTATTTTTGATGAAGCTGAATGTGAACGATGAAGTTGAAATTGATGTTCATTAAGTCGTAATGTTGATGTATCTATTTCATGATGTTGCATATCATGACGTTCTTTCTTATTTTGTAATAATGTTCTTGTTGATTTATAATCATCAAGATCATCATTAAAATTTTGTTCAAGAAAATGATTTAAATTTGATTTTAAATTATATTGTTCTTGAAGATGATTTCGAATTTGATAAAATTCATCACTATGATTTAAACGATTACGTCCTATTGTTGTTGTACTTGTTGTTATTAAAGAATCTTGTAATTTTGGTCTAAAAGAAAAATACAAAAATTTAAACGATTTTTGTTTAAAATTTAAAGAATGTTTCATAATAGCTGAGGATAAATTACCAACAGCATTTTTCATATTTTTTCTTGATGTAGAAGACTGAGATTTTTATCACATATATGTGTCTAATAAACATCTTTTATTTTACAAAGTATCAGCTCTCTAGCTAAAACTCATGATAAATTGCATGAACAACATTAACATACATGAATTGTCATACTAGATTTTGTAATATTTTTACTACGTAGTCAATCGTGACAGAATAGTAGAGCCTATCGGACCTATTCTGAGCCTATCCGATGGACTGTATGGAATGATTAAGGATTGTTTCAAATATATAGGAATGCATTTATATCTAAAATCTTTTAAATTTAATGACAAATTTTATTCTTAAATGTTCATCAGTTACGAAAACAGAATAGAGATTTTTCTGTGCAACAGAAATAATAGATAACATACTTGATCAATTACAATAGGTCATAGAAAGCAATGGATCATCATATGTTTATAAATATCATTGGTCAAGAAATAAATATATTACAAAAATCAAATATAAATATTTATGTATTTTAATCTTGTTCAGTTCATGTATGTCAGCACTAGTTTTAGTTAAAGAGCTAAAATTTTAGAGAATTAAAGCTCTCTATTAGATTTATCTATATGATAAAAATTTCAATCTTCTATTTAAAATGATATCTCTTTTTCGTTGGATTTCAATCATATTACTTTGTTTGTTCATGAATATCATTTGGTTTAATAGGTTTTGGTGTTTGTTGCGATTGTTTATCATTAAGAATTAATGCTAAATCATCCTCAATATCATCATATTCTTTTTTATTACTCATCGTAGGTGCATCATTACGTTTACTTTGTTGTTTTTTATTATATTTATCATTTGTTAAATCATTCAATAATAAACGTAAATCTGACGCTGTTGTAGACGGCGTATCTAATTAACGAGAAAAAAGAAACAAAAAATTTCAGCTTTAAAATAATATATTCAAATTAAAAACCTTGTGATAATCGTGAAAGATTAAGTACTTCAGATGACATTTGTACTGTTTGTTCGAAACGACATAATAATGCTTGATATTTTTCTTGTAAATCTTCAACAACAGTATCATGTTCAATATTTTCTTGTTGACGTCGACGAGTAGTAGGTGAATTCGATGGTGAAACAATTGGACTAATTTCAGTATAAACAAGACTATTTGCAGCAGCTATATCATTACCAAATGCTCGTCGTCGATCAGCTAATTGAGCAATTTGAGCACCAAGAGATGAAGCTTGAACACTTGATCGATCTGAACTAAGAGGTGGAACTTGTATTCGAGTTCCATGAGCTAGGGAACAAAAAATAATATATATATATAAATTCATATTATTAAATCCTATTAGAAAATTTTTCAAACCTATTTCATCACCTTCTTGTCTATCATTTTTAATCCAATGATAAACATCAGTTAATATTTCAACTAAATCTTCCATAGCATATAAATCTCCATTAGCTACTTGTTCACCCGATATATGTGAAAGATCAAATTCAACTGTATCAAAACATAAAGCATTAATTACACATTGAATATTGTGTATTTCATCAGCAAGATTACGAACAGGCGTACGAACATCTAGAATATTAAAAAAGAAAAAAATATATATATTTGTTTGAAATTTAACTCATTTGTGCTAACCATTTAATTGACATGAGCATATCTTTTCATAAATTGGAATGAGAACTGGGCTGGCAAATTCACTAATGGAACGGATACGACGATCAATACCAAGAGATTCAAGAAGATAATTTGTACCACGAACGATATCTAAACATATAATACTTGCAACTAAAATAATAATATAGCTTTAAATTTTTTTTCCAAAACTAGTCTATTGTCTTCTTTTTTCGAATTTTTATTTTAACACCTGACAATAAACATTTTGCTTTTGATTCTAGCAGTTATACACCTACCGATTCGTTCAGGTGGTGGTTCAATATATGGTTCTTGTACCATATTATTCTCTTAATCTAGAATACATATTATATGCAATCTGAATAGAAAAACGAAAGGTAAAAACTCCTTTTAATTATACGTATACAATTAATAAAAAACAGACAATTCTTTATGTCATCATCGTCTCTTTTTTCCTGAATATATATATATATATATATATATGATAATATTTATACAGAATGTATTTATGTGCATGTAGCATGAATAAATGAGTGTCTGGTTTGGTCAATATCACTAGCAAGCACGGAAGAAAAAAAACAACAAGACAATTCATCTTGTATCAAAGAAACATGAAAGAAGAAAACAAAATCGGAAGAAATCAAATAGAAAAAAAAAAAGAAGCAGGAGAAAAATCAAATGCAATATTATATATGAGAATCAAAAATGTTGTTATATTTATACAAAAATATACGGATTATCCTCAAATGACACTCTTCAATACGAGGAGAAGAGAAAACCTACTGTTCTCGCGAGTCATTCACGCGCGATTCTTGTTATAGCAAAAACAAAAAGAAAAGAAGAAATAAATAAATAGACAAAAAAGAAAGAAAGAAAACTAGTAAGCCAAGTAGGTTTGAATTGCATAGATATCAAAGAACAAGAAATGAAACACAAGATCGAATTCAGTGTAAACAAAACAAAACAAAAACAACTTGACTCACGCATGCACATTTAAACGAGTTCATTATAGAAAAAGAGAAAATGTGAAAGTTGCTGTTATAACACATTTTACATATCATATGCAAAAAAAAAAAGAACAAGAAAAAGAGACGGAAAGATGAGCATTGAATTATATATTTATTTTTGTTTTATCAGTGAATACAAAAATAGAGAACGGAAAAGCAAAAAAGAATATTAAAGTTTTCCTTTTTTTTTTTTTTTTTTGTCTTCAATTAGATCTTCGGTAATTTGGGTGCAGTTACCAATGGATTGTTTCGTTCAATTAAACGTTTTCCTTCAGCTTTATAATCAAATGCACATGCATGTGCTTCAGGATATCGATGTTCACTACAAAATGAACTTCCACATCTAAGAATTCAAACAAGAAAACATTCATTTTGTTTTTGTATAATTTGAAAATCAAAAAAAAAAAGATATTTATTCTTACTTGCATTGATATGTTGTAGCTAATCCAGTTTTCTTTTTACACAAAAAACATTTTGATGTTGATTTACGATTAACAATAACTGGTGGTAATTTACTTGATTGAAGACTACTACTCACTGTTGAAAGATTATTACTTGTTGTACTTGACCATAGATTATTTAATTTTGGATCTAACTATTAAATTCAAAAATAAAAACAAATATATATATATGTATATATGTATAGATTGATATATAATAATATAATTTAGTTTATATTACTTTATAACGTTCTTCAAATACTGTATCACGAGATGATGCTTTGTAACCTATAAAAGAGAAAGATTAGTTATAAACATGAATGATATGTAAGGTCAAGGAAAAAAAGTTTAATAATAACATATTTTTTATTTTAATATTCTGTAATGTTAAGTATCTATCTCAACTGGGGATCGTGGTTTTGATGACTACTGGAGTTTTCTATATAATGTATTCGATATCAATATGTCTAAAAAACTAGAGATAGTAGTTTTCAGATGTTACAAGACATTGTCGAGGATATTTTAAAAAGAACGAAATTCTGAACAAAACGAAGAGTCGTCACATTTTCTATGGCCTTTCTTTCAAAAATTAAAAGCATCACAAAAACCGTAAAAGAAACGAAATTCATCAAAAAATCAATTTAAAAACATATTTTCACGGTTTTTGTGATACTTTTCATTTGTCAAGGGAAAGTCGGAGAATATGTGGCGACTCTTTATTTTGTTCAGAATTTTGTGTTCTTTAAAATAGCTTTCACGAAGTCTTCTAGGACCTGAAAAACTATCGTGACCAGTTTTTCTAGAACTCTTGCTATGGTAGTTCATCTATGAAATCTTAGTAAAGAAGGAAGAATACCACTGCCTTTCGGCTTCCGTGCAATATAGGGTGTTGTCTAGCGGCAGATTCAATAGTTTCATATCTTCTCTACAACTAATACTAACTGTAACTATGAACAGAAGGCTGGTCTGACATAGAGTTCTTGCGCTCAATTGCTTGAGCTTCCAATACAATTTAATTAACCACAAGAGCACGTGTATGTTACAATGTAGTCAGCGTGCTGTCGAACGGATGATCCGAGACAAACAGTGGTTAGTTACTTATACAAGGTCATTTTATGGCTAATAGTACCAAAGTTTGAACACAATACTTTGTGAATACGTGTCGAACTACGTAACCACCCAGCCATGGCAGCAAAATCTTAATATAGAATGCATTATGTAAAAAACTCCATTGGTTATTAACTTCACTATCTGAATTTGAGCTAAATACTTTACTTTTATAGAAAAAAAATCAACAATATGTTGTTGTTGTTAAACTTTTTCTCTGTCGCCTTATATAAAATCATACCAGTTTTTATAGATGTTGTTTCTTTTGATGCTGTTGTTAGTAGTGAAACAAGATGTTTACCAACACCACGTGATGTATCTACTGGTTCAATGGTAGCATTTTGCCTTAGTAGAGCAGATACTGTTTTAGATCCAATTGTTTCTATAAATAGATTTATGTGATATTTTAAAATAAATATTTTCGTTTTTCCAAAAATAAAAATGAATTAAACATACCAATAGTTACTTTAGTATTATCTAATGGGATGAGAGATGATGATGATGGAGGTGGAACAGTAGCTGTTGCACCAACAGATTTAATATCTTGTTGTTGAAAATGTCTTTTCGTTGATGTAGATGCAGCTGAAAATATTGTAGTACATGATGATAATGATGAAGATGAAAAACTTGATTGTGTTGATTGTTTTTTACCTGGTGTTTTTAATACTTCAATACGTTTATTATGTATTAAATGTTCATTATAAGAATCTGTACTATTATTATCATTACCATTTCCATTATTAATTAAATCATTCGATGGTGTATTCGATGTACTTGTATATGTTTGTTGATGTAATGATGCTGTTGATACATGTATATTAGATGGCATACGTCTATATTTTGATAATGTTAATGGAATAAGTGGTCTTGGTGATGATTTTGTTTGTTTTGTATCATTATTTAATGTTTTATGATAATGATAAAATTGTTGTGTTGTTGATGGTAATGTAGATTTTTTTACAACATTAGGAAATGTTGGTACTGGTGTAGCTATTGTTGTACTTGTTGAACTATTTCTATGACGAAATAATATTGATTGACTTGTTGATGTACGTTCACCAACTGTATATTCATCACCAATAATTAATTGATCATCATCATCAGTCCATATTGGTTTACTTAATGATGTATCATTACGACTTTGAATATCAGCTGTACGTTTTCTATATGGTTCAGTTTTATCATCATGTATTGATGTTGTACTTGTTAAATCATTGGTTGGTGATATAATATCATCATCAAGTAATTCAAGCATTGGTGATGTATGAGATTGTTGATAAATTATTTCACTATTTGAAATTATTTTTTCATCTTGATTATCTAATATAGAATCGATATTATTCGATTTTAATTCATCGGACATATTAAATTGTTTACTCATTGTAGTCGAAAGTATATGAGAAGATGTTGAATCAATTGGTATTGATTGTTGATCTAATGTTGGTAATACAGGATTTATATTATCAACTAAAATAGCACCAGTATTTGTATCATTCTCAGAAGTTGTTGTTGTTGTTGCTATGGCCGTTTCTTGACTAACAGGCCCTAAGAAATAATACGAAAAAAAAAACAACAAAATATTGTTTGTTTCTCAAATTAAAGAGAAAAAGTTTTTGTTTTTTGAAATATTTACCAACTGTTGTTGTCGACGGATAATTCGTTGAAAACATAGTATTATCAGTTGAATCATGTTTTCTTATTCGATTTTTTGTCTTATGACTTTGATAATAAGAATCATGAAGAGTTTTTTTTGATGATTCTTGTTCATATCGATGATGTTTTTTTTGATTAAAACCTGAGGGTGAATATGATCTAGATGTTAATAATTGTTGTTTTTTTTGATTAGTTAATATCATTGGTGATGATGATAAAATTTTTTGTTGTTGATTATCATCTTCATCATGACTATCTTCTTCATCTTCACTATCTTCTTCATGAAGATAAATTGATTGTCCAATAGCAGCAGCTGCTAATATATTATATGTATTAAAAAGATTCGTTGATGATAATTGATAAGGTACAGAACAAGATTGTTTTTGTTGTTCTAAAGATGATGTACCAGTTGAATTATTACCATGTGTACTTAGATTTGAACTTGAATCAACAAGTATATTACGACGATGATGATGAATTAGATTTGTTTTTGTTTGTTTTGTTGTTGATGAAGGACGAACTGGAAAAGCATCCTTAGAAAAAAATAATATAATTAGTTGAGAATGAATTTATTGTGAAACAGAAATAGAAATTTTTGAAAATTTCGAGGCAATGTACATATACAATAACTTCGAAAAGTATTCACTCATGTTTATTTTCAATTTCTTCCGCTATCATAATCATTAATAGTGATTTCTATAGAGAATTTTTGACGATGAAAATAAAGAACTGGAAGATGTTTCATGTTATAGAAAATTGTTTCGTCTATCATTCTGAATAGTTCAAATAGAATTCTATTTGCAAATTCTAGGAGCCGAAAAACTCGCAATCATTTTCTTCTTCGAAAAATTCTTGTTGAAAATAAAATTCGCTACACAAATCACTATTTGAAGTCTTATTAGGGGTTACGACAGTGGAAAAAATAAGTCTGAGTGAATCATTTTGAGAGCTACTGAATATGTATATATATATATATATATGTATACGGATGATGGATACAATCAGAATGTACTAAAAACGAGAGAGAACTCATATAATGATAATAGAAATACTAGATGATAAATTAACAGTATGTGTCATCATTCATCGAACATCCAATAAAACAGTATAGAAATGATGAATCTAACTACAAGAAGAAAGAAGATGAATGAGAGTACAATACGAATGATAGTTTCAGGATACAATTGAAATGGTGGAACCATGGTCTGTAGGGTTGTCTTCGTCATCGGAATACCATAAGAGATTAGCGACATGCTCATCCAGTGGCTAGCGAGGAATGAGGTGTGGGCACAGGAACATCGGAACGATTTCCGTCTAGATTAGGTTTAACTTTTGACCTAAACCAGCTATGAGAGCGGATTGAAAATTGGTTTTCTTGATAGATTTTAATTCTACATAAATGTAATAACTATCTAATGCTGTATTGTTTCGAATGAAATCAAGAATTAACAAAGTAGTAGAGAAATACTGATTAAGAAAACAGACTAAGAAGAAATAAAACTTTATAACAAGAAAAAAATTTTTCTATTTTGATTTTTTTTTTAAATAAAATTAGAAAAGATACTGTTGAAATCAAGTGAATCGAATTTTTCTTTATGAATATAAGAAATAATAACATGATTTAAACATTGTTGTGTCATTGTACAGCATAAATATATGTTTATTCCATTCATTATACTAGAAGGTCGTTCAACGATGGTTGTTGTTACGGAAATTGTCAAATATAACGATAACAATTTATTGTATTCAGAAAATAAAGTTTTGTCAATTTGTTATGTATTTAAAAAATAAAATGTTGACTGACTTTGTAATAACGTGTCATCTGTCCGAAGAAAATGAAAATTAAACAATAATAGAACATGTTTACATTTAATAAAATCTGCCTAAGCCTCGTGGCTACGCTGTTTATGTTTCAGACAGAATGTCATTTCTTTAACTGAAAAATGACTTTAGCCCGAAGTAGAAATGTTCTCTCATTGGATATCTCTCTAATAATAACTTCCGAGCTACTACGATAAGAGACGTGCTAAAGTCAGTTATTAATTGAATTAGAATTGAAGCACATACATTTGCTTCCCGTTCCAAAAGGAATAAATTATTTATTTTTTGTTACTTTTCTAGTATGCGTTTTTAACTTTGATCGAATTAATTCCATTTTTTGTTTTGTTTTACGATCATCAGCTTGTCGTTTTTCATCATATTCACGTTCTTGTTCAACAGTTAGTGTTTCATGTGCGTTATACAGTGATGTATTACTAATAATAATATAAAATTATAATTTATCGTTTTATTATTATGATTATCTTTTTCATATACCTCATAGAACCAGATAAAGGTGAGAGTGTACCGTCACCTCTATCAATAACTTGAAAAAAATTAAATTGATCACCATCACGTAAAACAAGAAATGTAACATTTTTATTTGATGATGATGATGATGATGGTAATAAATCACTTGTTAATGTATAATCATCTCGACTATTTTCAATATATTCCGACATTTCACGTATAAAATTATCTTCAATAGGTACACGTTTTGTATTAACAGGACCACCACGCATAGCTAAAACAAGTTTAAGTGTTGTACCAGCTTCGATTTTATAATCATGTAAACATGATTCATCTTCAAGTTCATTAGATTTCCAAATAAGATGTTGATGTGAAACAGGTATACCTTCTCGTCGTTCAATTTTACGTTTTATATATTGTATTTGTTCATATGGTGAAACAAGTAATTCAAATGATGATCCGGCTAATGTTTCAATATTAATTGGAATTAAAGATCGATGTGAAGATACAGGTGATGTCTGACTTATTGGCAACATGTTACATAGAAGATCTTTTAGAAGTAAAAAACAAATACAAACATTTCTTTCTTTTTTTTTATTAATATATAATGCTTACATCATATCATGAAATGAACAAAATTAATTTAGATTCTTTTAATTTTTTGTTTCGATTATCAATTCGATTTATTCTCGACTACAAGAAGTTATGAAACGTAGAAAAAGAGAAAGAGTTGTTCGATTACAAATTATTCATCTAAAAATATAAAGATTTTTTACATCGATCAATATTCTTTTGTATGTGTCAAATTAGTTTGATTTGTTCGAAATAAAGGAATTTTGTATTCGTAGGACCTTTGCAATTCCTGTTATTCATATGATGATGATGATGATGATTGTATTTTACATTTTGGAACTGACAACTATTGTGAATAGAAAAAAAGAGAATTGAATGAAGTATAAAAGAAGAAAAAAAAACATGAAAGAGCAAATAGAAAAAAAATCTATAAAGTGGAGTAAAGCCTGCTTATATTTCATGGGCATGAAGCCTTATCAATATCAGAACTTGTTTATTTGAAAGAAAAACGAGTAAAACTTTAAGTCAATATTCAAGTTAAATTAGCTCTGATAGAAAAAAAAGGAATTTATAAATAATGCAAACTATCGTAGAGTTGTTTTTTTTTTGTCCAGTAACTATTTATTATTGTTTACAAGAATATGAAGAGAAAACGAAGCGACATCTATATAGGACCTCCAATTTTATTATCATGCTTGTCTGATTTGCTCGTTTCTTTTTTTATTTTACTTCAGAACGGGATATATTATAGATAGATAAATAAATATAATGAAGAAATATTGATTAATTTCGATATTTTCTCTCAATTCATTTCATCTAATAACTGGTTTTTACTGTTTTCATCTTAATTGAATGAGGATATTTTGTTTTCTGCTTATCGAAGAGTAGCTTTTATTTTAGTCAATTTTCTTTTTTCTTTTCAATAATATGCTATTGATTGTTTTTACTTTAGATAACCACCCGTTTTCTTTTTACCTTTATATCAATAGAATGGGTAAGTTATTATGATCTCTATGTCAAAGAGTATAATTGTATTTATTTTTTTTTTCGTTTTTGAATAAAATAGGTAAACCTCGTGGTCTTCGTACAGCTCGTAAACTTAAAGATCATCGACGTGAACAACGATGGCATGATAAAGATTATAAAAAGTCTCACTTAGGTACACGTTGGAAAAGTAATCCATTTGCAGGTGCTTCTCATGCTAAAGGCATTGTACTTGAAAAAGTGTATGTTTATTTTTGTATTCTATTTTGTTAGAAAAAAAAAATTTTGTTTTTAAATTTATTTCTTAGTGGTGTCGAAGCTAAACAACCAAATTCAGCTATTCGTAAATGTGTTCGAGTTCAGCTGATTAAAAATGGTAAAAGAATCACTGCTTTCGTACCACGTGATGGTTGTCTTAACTACATAGAAGTAAATTTTGTTTTTTTTATTTTTGTTTTCACAAAAACTTTTTTTTCTTGTAATAGGAAAATGATGAAGTTTTAATTGCCGGTTTCGGTCGTAAAGGTCATGCCGTCGGTGATATTCCGGGTGTTCGTTTCAAAGTCGTTAAAGTTGCTAATGTCTCTTTGTGGGCATTATACCGTGAAAAGAAAGAACGACCACGATCATAAAATATCGATCGACTACAACAACAACAACAACATCAAACTAAATGTATTAACGTTTTGTTTTGTTGTATGTTATTATTAAAATAAAATACAAAGGAAAAGAAAAGAACAATAGAACCGACTAAAAAAAAATCATATTATCATTTAGTCAGTTCAATAACAATTTAAGATATGAAATTTCTGTTTTCTTTTCGAAACAATTGAATTTATGGTTATATAACAATGCAGTTTGAGTGTTGATATTGAAATTAGGCACTATGACAGATGCGTCGAAAGTTTTTAAACAAAATATTTCTTGATTTTTTGATTGATGAAGAAAGGCAGTAGACAGTATTAAGAGAGAGTTCACGAGAGGGCCGAGGATCGCATCAGTATATGAAGCGCCGATCAAAATTTAGATTTTCGATTTTTTATATGAATTCGAAAGGCCATTGGGTAAAGCCACCAAACCTATATTTTTAGCATATTTAAATACTTAATAGTAAAGTTAGTCCAGATGAACTTTTTAGTACCACTTACGTACTATGAAAAAACCAGTGATAATTTGTCCTATAAATGTCTACCAGGATTATACTTCAATAAATTAGAAAATTTTTTCATATAATAAACTAAAAGATAGAACATGAAAAGCTGAACAAAATGAGCTATTTCAAATACTGTATGTCATCTATTTACTGGAATTATCTAATTCAACATGAGTGAAGTAGGTCGTAATTTATGAGTTAAAAAAAGCAGATTTTTGACAGTATATCTATTGCCATTTTCTCAAATCGAAAAGTATCATGCTAAATCTTTATTTATGTTATGTAACTTTTTATTCTCTACAAAATGGTAAAAAAATGTTGGAGAAGAGAGTTCGTTCTCGAGATGGAATAGGGTTTACATCTCTCTCTTACATAGTGTTTTTTTCATGATTCTTCAAGAAAAAAAAAAAAATCATTTTTTGCGATTTTTATTGCTATGACACGGTCATGAATCAAAATAAGTATGATATTCGGAATGAGTATCAAAAACTACATTGGGTGAAATACATTTCAGAAAAGTTCTTTTTCTATGAAAAAATCACCTGTGGTCCCTCAGGGGTCAGTTTTTCGTAGAAAAAGAATTTCTCGAAATATATTTCACTCAATATAGTTTTTGATGCTGATTCCGAATATCACAGTTATTTTGCTTCGCGACCATGTCATAGCAATAAAAATCGCAAAAAAGTTTTTTTTCAGCTGAAAAAAAACTGAAAAATCACTATGTAGGAGAGAAATGTAAGCTCTATTTCATCTGGAGGACGAATATTTTTTCTCCAATATTTTTCACAGTTTTTTAGAAAGTAAAAAGTTACATAACATACATAAAGATTCAACATGGCACTTTTCATTTAAAAAAGTGGCAATAGATATACTGTCAAAAATCTCTTGTTTTCAACTCATAAATTACAATCTACTCTATTCATGTTGGATTGGATAATTCCAGTAAATAGATGATATACAATATATGAAATAGCTCATTTTGTTCGGCTTTTCATGCTCTATATTTTAATTTATTGCATGGAAAAATTCTAACTTATTGAAGTAGAATTCTAGTAGACATTTATGGAACAAATTATCACTATACTTTCGATAGTAGGTAGGTGGTGCTAAAAATTTAGATTTGGTGGTTTTAGACAATGATCTTTTGAATGCATATAAAAAATAAAAAATTTAAATATTGATCAGTGCCTCGGATCCTTGGTCCTGTCACAAATTGTCTCTTAAACACTTTGTTAGAATCACAATTTTGTGCTTTTTTCAAATCTATATTCAAAATTTTTATGAGACTCATAGATCACGAGTTATGAACAAATCTTTGAAAGACACGAAAATAAAGTTTAGGCGGAGTATGCTATTATATTCTGTTGGCAATTGATTTCATACTGTTGTTCAGTGATTTTTCTTGTTACTTTCGTAAAAAAGCTCATTTTTGTTTAATTCCACTTTTGAATGCATCACGTTTTGAATTTTTATGGATAAGCATCCCAATAATAAACTTCGTTCTCAGCAACGATGTCTTGTACTGCGTACGTACTATTAGCGATAGTTTTTGCACAGCAAAACATCGAAACTGTCCTCTACAAAATCAATTAAGAGCTGAGAAACTTGTAGCTTTCAGCTTGAAACGATCGAGTTTGCTCTGTAAGTCGGGAAATCAAGGAATTGCAAGCACGTCATTGTATCTCTCATAGATTCTAATCAAGTGTTTAATACCTTCCGTTGACTTTCTTCATCGGTCAGAAAAGCAAGGAACATTTTGCCTTAAAACTTTCAGTCCACTCATTATTACAGTAAATTAGAAGGATTCTTTTTTTTCGTATTCGACACTGAGTCATTGCCTTTATTATGGAAAATTCTGCATTTTTTAATAATAACTTAATAAGAAAATCTTGAGAGTTCTCTTACTAGATGATGCATCCATTTATTTATCAGAGGAACGACTAGCTTATTGTATATGTTGATTCAATTTTTAAATGTGTGGTGTCCTAGAAAATATTTAAACTAGTTTGTCTTTAGAAGAAATACGAAACGTTGTAAAAAAAAAGAACGGTAATCGAATCATCTGGTTTCTTAGTAACGAATCTTGTATTTCATGTATTTGTTAATAGGTTTGTAGAATAACATCCAATACCAATATATATATATATATTGTTTATTTTTCAGAATGATCACACTTCTAGATTAAATCAGTTGTGTCATACTTGAAAGTTAAATTCAATTGAACAACTACTCTTTAAGTTTCAATTGTCTACATGTTATATCTCAATGCCATTCTAATATCCTTGAAAATTATAAAAACATTACAGAAATTTAAATCATGCCCTACTCTCACTCAAACTTGACTATCTTTTCTTCGATCAAAATCTCAACTGGAAATCCCTGAAAGACTTTCCGCAGCATTCTTTGAGAGAGATAACATGTATGTATGTTTGAAAGTTGAAAATGTAATTCAATTCAACTTTCAAGTTTGACATATATGAAATGACTTCGAAAAGTGGTAGAAATTTGGAAGGAGTATTATAATGAGCGTGTTCGATGGTCGGCTCTGTGTTCCGACATCGTATTTCTCCTATTACCTTCTTATCTTTTTCCGAAATCTTCCGGTCGGAACCGACTGCAAATCATTAATCTAGAATGTTATGCGAAATAATAAAATAACCATAGAATTCGTATGATTATTAGTCGTGATTGTTAAATACAAACTTTGTTCTGGTCTCTTTACGTGAAAAATTATTCGGAACAGTTGTTGTATCCACAAAGAGATCTTTCTCTGTTAGTATTTCGATATATAATTTTCACCGGTTATTGGTAAAATACATAGTATTTGATTTTTTCCTGATCAATAATATTTCTTTAAATAAAGAAAAGCTACCAAGTAATATTGAACTATATTCTCTATCAGGAGAAAATTGTTTATTTTTGATTAGGACATCTTTTTTTGCGAATATTTTAATAGATGATCTCTACAGATCTTTTATATAGCAGTATTCGATTTTTATGTTAATCTGAATGATTTTTCTTCAAGAAACAAAAGATATTCTTGGATAGATCTCACGAAATATTATGAACGACAGTAGTTAATTGAAATAGTACAGATTCTATTTTGAATATTACACCCAAATACGCATTTTTAACCATAATTTCGCATAGAGAAAAGTAGTTTTTTATGTTTGTTTTTATCGTCCTTCATAATACTTTTCGCCAGAATTAGAGACCTCCATTTAATTCGTAATTTGATCCTACACTCAAGATACTTCTTCATTTCACTGGCACAATTCTGGATTCAAATATTCATTGAAAATACTCAGATATGCTAATAAATTTATGCAAATTTCGAATGGTTTATATTTTCTAATCACTAGTATGACATTGCCATAGATTGTAGATACACTTATCGTATATTGAGAATTGGTTTATTAGTTCACCAATCAGTGATTTGTCTATTCAGAGGGAGAAAAAAACAACTTTATACGAAGTGACCTTTTTTTCTACAAAAACGAGTCGATATATACACAATTATTACAATCAGTTTTTAAAAAAGACAACAATGAATCGTATTGCCTTCAATAGTATTGTCCGAGTAGTTCGTGTTAATCCTGCTATTCGAACGGCTGCTCCATATCGTTGGGTTAGGTTCAATTTTCTTTAACAATAACATGAAACTTTTTCTCAATGTTTTTTTCAGCAGTCAAGCAGTGCAACTGGTGGTCAACAATCACAAGGATCTGCATTTGCAGCCGGTGCTACTGGTGGTCTTGTTGCACTTCTTGGAGGTACGTTTTTTTTCAGTCACGTGGCAATACATGTGATCAAAGTTGTTCAGTTCATACTGTCAACACTTATGAAAATGAATACTTTCAGTAGACTTTTATGAATTTTCTTATTTTCATCTACAGAATCTAATTTCAATTATAGATAATTTGAACATATTTTCTTTTTTTTATATAATAGGTTTTGCATGGTATCACTTTAGTGGTACACGTCAAGTTGTTAATACGGCACGTGATGCTCTTAACAAAGCTCAGGAACTCAAAGAAAAAGTGAAAGAAACAGCCGGTGATTCAGCTGAAAATGCAGCCAGTACTGTTAAGTATTTACGTTCAGCTAGTGCTACTTTAATTCCTGGTTCGGCACCATTTCTTGGAAAAGTATTTGATCAAATTGAACAGATTAGTAAAGAACATGGTGATGAAGCAAAAAAAATATTCGATGAAACATATAAAGATTTCGAAAAACTTGCTAAAGACGGTGGTTTAGATGCACAAACAGCCAGTAAAGCTGTAGATATTCTTCAAAAACGTGTTAAAGAACTTCAAGATTTAGCTGGTGAAGTTGGTGGTGATGCATACGATAAATTAATTTCTGACAATCCAAAATTAAAAGATCAAATTTCGGATCCATATAACAAATTAAAAGACATGGTTGGCAAAGCTAAAGAAAAAAAACCTGAACTACAAAATCTTCTTAAAGATACAGGATCAGAATTAACTAAAATCTTTAAAGATAAAGGTGTATCAAAAGAAACTGTTCAACAAGCACAAGATTTATTAAAAAAGAAAGGTGAAGAAGCAAAAAAACTTGGTGAAGATGTTGCAAAAAGTGCTAAGAAGGATAAGTAGATATCAAATATGAATTCGTTTTCTTTTTGTGTAGTTTTTTTTATTAGTATCAATTTTATTCTTGCTAAATATTTTATTCTCGCACATTGTATAATGTATTAAAGTACTTTATAACTTATAAAACCTTTTTTTTTCTTTATTTGTGAACAATCCAACTCAAAAGAAAGAGTTGCAGATACAGAAAGAACCAATAACCTTGAAAAATAAATTAAAATCGACAAAAGCTAGTACAAATTTTAGAATGAAATTAATTTCTTATGAAATTCGAGATAAATATCTCAATAGACTGGACTTGACTGTTTCAATATTGCGATGGATCGAATCTTGAATAGAATAATAAAATTTTCCAAAGATGTTGCATATTTCTATTAAACTTTGTTTTTTCAAAAATCCTATGTGATTCTTCTGTTGGCTAAAACATTCCGACAATGAACAGCAAATACGTAGAACAACACTAAGGAAAAGGTAAAATCGTAATCGTCTTAAAAGACTTTCTTTAGATTGAAGAACGTGTCTTTGTCTAGTTTTTCTCGTTCATCAATTACTTCTTCTAATTCTAATTCTATTCGTACCGAATTTTCTTGATCATCAATTTTTAATAATACTTTTTCTTCAACTACCAGTTCTAGTTCAGCATTACATACAAAATAGTATACATCTGAACGGATCAAATTTATTTTGAAACAATGACCATTGACATGTACTGTTATTAATAATAAAAAAGTAAAAAACATCTTTATGTTAGAAAGTTTTTTAGATTTTCCAATTGATAATGCAGAAAACAATGGTGAATTTAAAAGAATTAAAGGTTTGTTTATATATCAACTACTGGTACACGAAATATGCTTGCTCATTCATATATTAAAAATTTATTCAATGCAATTAGATGATTGGTCCATGGGCAGAGTCTGTCGAGTTCAAAACCTTCGGATCGGAACCCGGTTTATTAGAGGTTCACAGAAAAACTTCAGAGTCGAATTCGCCAGGCTATACCCAAAGGTTGATAACCTATTGGCCAACTTTTGTCGGCCCAGCCCAACCCATTGAGACCTCTACTTCGAAATATATAAATAGTCATATGTTGTACTAAAAACTCATAAATTATTTGAGATATTGTCTTGAAAAAAAAGATCGAAACCATGATTTGTTTTTATACGGAATTTATTAACCTTTTAATGCAGAACCAAATATTAGCAACACCGCACTGTGCATAATACTATTATAAGAAAGCTCACAAAAAGTTCTCTGTTTTTTAGTTTAACGAATAACAGAATAATAAACAATAAATAAATATATATATACATGTAGCGAGAGCACGCCAAAAGTTTTTTCGTTCGGATCTCGTAAAAGTCATAGTTTCAATCTGATTATTCTATTATAACACATAAACAGATTCAGGGTTGTGTACAAAATTGCAGCCTTTCAGGTCTTATGAATCGTTATATTTTCTCATTTCTTTTAGAGTAGTCACATACCATTTTTTGATCTGAATTTGGACTCTCTCAGTACGAATCAGACTCCACAAAGTGTTCCATTTTTGACTGACAAATAGAAAGCGTCAGTTCACTCGAAACTCTCGTGAAACAGGCTAGTTTTATTGTATATTGGATTTTCTCATTGCTATAAAAACTTATGTTTTCTTGTGAAATCATTGTGCGAAATTGTTCTCGTGAGTCTAAATTCAGATCGAAAAATGATATGTGACTACTCGGAAAGAAATGAGAAAATATAACCATTCATAAGGCTTGAAAGACTAAAATTTATGGCTTTTAGAAGACCCGAGCAAAAATACTTTTGAAGTCCTCCGTGTATATTAGTTTCAATGAATAATTGAATTTCCACACATTTTATATCTTTCAACATTGTTTAACTCTGTTGTTTTATTTGTTGTTGATGTTTGTGATGTAAAAATACTTCCATCATTTTTATCTGTTAATATTGTTGAAGTATTATTATTATTATTATTATTCCCATTATCATTAATATGAATAGTAGGTATTGATGCTTTTGAAAAATTTGATACTGGTGGACAATTTTGATCATTAATTAAACATTGATAATTATCATCAGCATCACGAAATGATGTTTCATTTAATTCATCGCCACCATCAACTGATGATAACGTTGTTGATTCAGATAATACTTGTTTATTATATAATTGATCTAAATGTACGAGACTCATACTACGTGTATGTGTTTTTTCTATTGGCTGTGTTATTGTTGTTGTTGTCATCATTTCAACTGTTGGTAGATCATTTGTAGTATTTGTCATTTGTTCTTTAATTGGAATTATAGTATTTGAACTATCTTTTCGATTATTCATTACATATTCACTGGAAATACCCAATAAAATTGTTCCAACAGCAATTTTTGATGCTAATAGACTTTTTAAAAAGAAAATATTATTTAAAAATAAATAATAATAATAATAATATATATTTTACCATAAAAATGTTAATAGAACATTAATTATTGCTAGAGTTGTTTTAACATTAATTGTTTGAAAGAGTACACCAAAAACTAGACAAGCAAATGGTAATGGAATAAATCCTAATCGACGACTAAGTAAATCTGTATAATCCGATAGAGCCTTGAAGAATGAAAAAAAAACAAAAGATGACATTTCAAAATTATTATCATATAAAATTAATAAAAGAACTAAACATACAATATCTTGTTTTGTTTTAACCATATCATGAGCTAAACTTAATATATATTCTCGATAAACTTCTGATGAAAGTTCATTAAATTTTAAAATAAATCCATGTTTAACCCAATCAACAAAAAATTCAACAACAAAAACAACAACAATAAAATCAATTAATGGCAAAAATTGACTCATATCCCAATTAAATTGATCAAGATTACGTACACAAACAACAAATAATAAAATAACATAATGAAAACGTTCACGACAATCACTACATGATAATTGAAATAAATTATTTCGATCAAATTTTTTAAATACACTATGTTTTAATTCAATAAACTATTAAATATTAAGTAAAAAAAAAAAACAAATATTATTTGTATTAATCAATATTTAAAATTATAACTTACATTATTTGTTAACATTATAATTAACAACATTCTATTTTGTGAATTAAATGCAACATTCAATGTAATAGCTTGAAGAAGAACAAGTATTGCATGAATTACTAGAAATAAATCATAAACAGATATGTTCTATAGTCTTATATTACTTTTTTTATAATAAATCTAAGAAAAATATAAATGTTGAAAATTTAATTTCAAATTTTATATTAAAACTATTTTATATCAAATGACCTTATTTATCATTCATCAAGTATCTCCTACTAGTGTCAATGTTCTACGCTACATTTATTAATATATTACTTACTACAATAAACAATAGCTACAATAAGCCATAGAAATAATTTTTTGGCACTATGTTTACGACGTGGTTCAGTTGCTGTCCAATAAACAGCATCGAGTGTATCTTGACCGAATGAAGATAATAAACGATCACATACCTTGATATTTCATAATTCAATTAAGGTTATTTATTTTTTTTAAGTTAAATTTTAGTACATACTTCGAGCATATTGAAAAACATATAAAGTTTAATAGCTGCTTGAGCACGAACTACATGATATACAACTGATATATCCATAAAACACATAGGTACAGCACAACCAAAAAGAACAAGTCCTTTAACAATATCGATAATTTGTGCTGGTTCAAATAAACGATTACTAAATAAATAAAACAATTAAAATAAAAAAAATCAAATACATAATCACTTCTTTTCTATTTACGGTTTTGAAGTTCGTAATCGACATAATGTACCAATTGCTTGTATAAGAGCAAGTGTAATACGTATCGGTAAAAAAGTCCATACATATAAAAATGTATCCAAACATTGACAAAATCCATATAGCATAAACTGAAATCAATAAAAAATAACTACAATGTAATTTCTTTTTTTTCATACGACAAAAAAAGATAGTAAATGATTCGTCAGTGTTCTACAGATATAAATTACCCACCTGTATAATAACAAAAAAAAATAATACTATTGATTATTTCTAAAAGAAAAGTATAATATAAAAAAAAAACAAAAATGAAAAATTATATTCTCATCGAAATTTTGTATCCTTATTCGAGTGTAGCTGTAAATAGTTGTTCACTTCATCTATTTCAGTTGTTCCTCGAGGATTGAAATATATTTTTGCGAAAAATATGTAAACTTAATTTTTCAATATTGAAAAAAAATTAAGTTAAATAAATTTATTTTTCGCTTGAAATTCAATATTTTAATTTACCTTTTCAAGACTTGATGACATTAAAAGAAAATTATAGATTCTTTCTCGTTTTTCTAAATATTTTTGTTCTTCACATTCAAGCATATAATCACGTGTAAATTCTGCTTGAATAAAACGCCAAAAAGAAAACGGAGCTACAAGACAAAAGAAAAACAGAGAAAATTTCTTTTTTTATTTAACAAAAAACAAAACCAATTCCACATACATCGTTGATTATTCGACATTGTTTCAGACATGATATTAATCGCTAAGATTATATACAAATAACAACTGTTATGTAAAGTGCGCCCTCATTTAGCATATCGTTGTGCAACGTAATTGGTGGAATAATTTCTCGAATCACAAGGTTGATCTATTCTTTGTGTGTCAAACGAAAGGAAAAGAAAAGCAAACAATCAGATTAGTGTTTAAGAAAATTATTTCTATGATGTTTGGAAATGTTGTTCCATTGACAACAGTCAATGCTGCACAAGTATTACCTGGTACTGTTCTACAAACTGGAAATATTTTACCAACAACTACAGTTGGAAATAATGATGTAGTTATTATACAAGATACAACAAATCAAGCTGAATTAATAAATCAATTACAAAATCATATTAATGAAAATCAACAAATTCTGATAATTACAGATGATCAAGGACAAGATCAATGTAAATTTCATTTTATTTAGATTTTCTTAGTTAAAAAAAAAATTTGTTTTTTTGTTCTTAATCATTTCAGATATTATCATTGATAAAGATCAAGATATTAATGCACTTTTACAAGATGGTAAGTTATTTTTAAAATATGTCAGTTCAAAAATGATGATGATTTTAAACAAGAACGGATAGATGAAATTTTTTATGAATAAAACTCAACACACAACTACTCAACTGATTTGAACTGACTAAATTGTTTAGATATAAATATAAACTTAATCAATTATATTCGTTTGTTAAATTATTAGTCTAAAATGTACTTTTTACAATTCAAATGAGGAGATCTCTAAGCATATTTCGATAGAATCAGTACAGAGATTTCATGATTGTTTTCTCGATACTTCGATTTTTCTTTTTTTGTAAATAATTATTTTGACATTTTATATTGTTAAGTCTACTGATGAGAAAGTGTTATTATATTCAGTTATAATATGTAAGAGATCAACGTCTTTTACTTCATCTTTAAATATCTATTTAAGTTCGTATTAAAAAATCATTCAAGAAAATCTTCATAGATCTTCTCATTTGAACGGAATTCAACTTTGCAAAATAATCACCATATAAATTGAAGATTCATGTTCTTACTATTTATTGAATTTCTTCTATTGTGTACAAAATTTTATTTCAATGAGAATATAAATCGTCAGTCGACAATTTTGTTTTAGGTTCTCTATTTAATCATTATACAGAACAACAACAATTCGCTCAAATATCTACTGGTTTACAACAACAAATTTTACAAATAGCATCAATGCCAACAATTCAAACAGCACATACTTCATCTGTTATATCAACACCTGTACCAATACAACCAAAACCAACACCAAAACCAATAGCACCTGCTACAATGAATCCATCACTTATACCACATAAACAATCATTTCAAAGCAAAGTAAAATAAATTTAAATTCTATTTATTAATTTTAATAAATATATATTTTAGGTTAATGCAAATGCATTTCATATTCAAAATGTTGAAGAATCAATTCAACGTGTTACAGCTCCACCACCAAAACGAAAACCAAGTAAAATCTTTTTTCTCTATAAGATAAAAAGAAAAGACAAAACAATTCTTTATCAACTTTGTATTTTAGTTGAAATTCGTTATGATCCAAAAGATAATTCTTTTCATAATGCATTTTTAAAATTTCTTGCCGGAGAAAAACCACCATCATTAGAAGCTATAGCTAATGAACCAATTATACGTAAACCAAAAGATAATATTTATATTGGTGCTGTTAATGCTGGTATTATTCTTAATTCACTTGGACAACAAACTGGTACAATGGGTTATCAAACATATATAGTTAATGATGAATCGCGTATGGAAGAAATAATGGTTATTGGACGACCATTATATGATGATACAAAAGGTGTTAAAATAAATCCATTATTAAAAAATCTTCCAACAAATAATCAAACAACAAATTTTGTACCACAATCAATAACATTAACACCAAATTCACAACAACAAAATGATAATCAACAACAACAACAACAACAACAATATATTAATACATTAACTGATTTATTTCGTAATGCACAAACTGTACCAAATATTCTTAATAATTCTGTAAGAATCATTTGTTTTGTAGAACTTCCATATATTTTTGAAGAGAATAGTGAATGTAAGTTTTCTGGCTTCTTCTCATCACAGAATTTTAGCAATCGAGGACAACATACTGTAGACAGCATTAACAAGAAGACTTAGACTGCACTGGGACATTGAAAAGTCTTCCTCGAAATTTGAATGGTTGGAATATATTTGCGAATGTTCTGAATAGTGCACTTTTTTATTTTTTCACAAATTTATATATTATAAGATTTTAAGGATGATGGATAGTGATTAGATATGTGCGAGACCAGTCTCAGTTACTGGGACAGGAAACCAAAAACTCAAACTTTATCGGAACTGAAATCCGAGACTATATCATATCCTTAACTCTATGACTTTTTAAGTGAAGTTTTTTGCACATCATGATAAATAAGACAACATAAATAAAAATCTGTATATACACAATCTTAATGAATAAACAAGTTCCAGTCATATACATGCCCATATAAAAAAAAATAAACAGTTTCATCATTATGAACAATATAATGTGTCTTCGTCATCATCTTTAGACAATCGTCTTAGTTTCGTTTTTGAATATGATTGTCATAAATCCTTCTACCGTACATGTTTACCTGGAATAAATGATGAAGAAATAGTCTCTTCTGCTAATCTTTTCTGATTTGATTAACAAAATCCAGTTAAATAAGTCAAATTTTTATTTAAAAAACATGATTTTATCTATTTGTTTCAGTTGTTAATCATGTTCTTTCCTCAGTAACTGTTGCATCTGAGTACACATGTATGGAATCGGGAGTACTGTGAAAAAGCTGCCGAGACCAAAAAAGTTAGTTCTGCACATGTCTAATAGTGGTGCATTGATTTGCTACAGTTCTCATATATTTAACATAAAAAAGTTTAAACTTATCGAGATATATAGTAGTGCGTTGAGATCTGCTGTCGATAGAATAGATATGTACAACAGACTTATGTGTCAGTTGAATCAATAATTAGAATAATAATAATGTTAAATTAAGAAAAAAATAGAATACGAAAAAGAAGAGCAACAAGACATGGAAAATTTTCTGTTCAAAATACAGAAATAAATAAGGCGGATCGCTTCTCTGGTGATCGATTATCGTTGGAAAGCAACTATAATGTCCAAGAGATTTTTCATTTTCCGTATTTTATATCAGTATAATGAGGTTAAAGAACACATTTGAGTTCCAAATTTTAGCTCCAAAGGTACTACACTAACAAGCTTATTTTTTCATATTCTATTGAAAGTTTTCTTTGTTTTAGACAACAATTACATTACCTCAAGATATACTTAATCAATTAAGTGCTGGTACACTTACATTAACACAAACATCTAATGGAACTGATGCTATTGAGTCGGCAACAGCATCAGCAGCTGCAATACTTAGTCAATTAAATGAAATGGTACAAGAACAACAACAACAACAACAACAACAAACTAATCAAAATACAATGAATTATATTTCTAATGAATTACTTTCTACAACTAATTCAAATAGAATACAAAGTGAAAAGGTAAATTTTTTTTTTTCATATCTGTATCATTATGTTTATTATTTTTTTATATAGGCAACAACAGATGCACTGTTACTTGCAGCATTGTCTAAAACAAATAATACAAGTATAGACAAAAATTTGCTTCTTTTTAAAAAAGAAATTCTTTAATTTAGATAAATCTCATGAAATTCATCAACCATCATTGACAACAATTCAATCGGATAATACAAAGTAAAACGATTTTGTTGTTTCTTTTTTATTATGTTAGACATCATTGTTGATTCTTTAGTTCATCTTCAACGGCTACTACTACTGCTTTATACGATAGTAAGCATGAACAATTACAATTAGCAAATGCTGCTCTTCAGCAACAAGTAATTGGTGAACATTCTCAATCAACAACATCTACTGATAAGCATCAACAAGAAACATCAGTATCTACAGCAATGAATCAATCGATTGCAACAACTACCGAAGGAAATCAGTTTGCAGATGGAGGTAAAAAAAGAAATTTGTTTCTATTTATAAAAAAAATAATTTTAATCATAGAAATGGGACCTGAAATTCCATTTGAAATGGGTCAATTTTTATTATATAAAGGACATTTTCTGAATTTACTTCATTTTCCAATTTGGAAAGTACATACAAAAACACTTTTACTTAAATATGATACTGTACTTGCTGATTCTGAAATAGCATGGGAAGCAACAGATGAAGTAAGAAAAAATATATTTCTTTTTCTATCGAAACTACATTCTTCTTATCTAATTATTATAGGGAATGTTTTATACGAATGTTTATGAAGATTATGTTCCACTTAAATGTGAACTTAAAGGTTTACATAATAATCAAGAAGTTGTTCGTATTATCAATGAATCACATCCAATTAAACTTAAGTAGGATAAATATTTTAAATCACGAGAAAAAAAAACTTAGAAACGCAGAATTTTTTGACTTTTTTCCTTAATAGTAAACTCTAGAACAAATCAGATAAAAGATCTTATTAACTGAAATAATTTCCTGTTAGGAAAAGCACTTGACAATATTAATAGTAAAATTTTTCCTTTTTTCGTAAACAACAAAGTTGTCGAACACATAAATGCGCAGAATAGACCAAGTATTAGTGAATTTAAAAAAGTAATTAGTCTTCACGGCAGACGACATTAGAACTCATGCAGGTCATGCAAAACATCTCGAGGGCATTGACACTGTCAGGAAATGATATCTAATTTTTCGCTAGTTAATGTATTACTAAACACAAAACCAGAATCAAAGATTTTTTTCTGACCGGAATCCAAAAAACGATTAACCCTGCTCATCTCCACTTTTAGACCTATCGCACAATGGTTGTCGTTTGCTGAAGATAGGTCATGAATAACTTGTTTTGTTCAGAAATATTTTCTCTATGAAATAAACTTGTTTGCAAAATATTTTTGATAGAATCCAA